ATGATTGGTTCTGTGGTTTCATACCAAACCAGATCAGATAACTCAAAGAACACTTCCAGAAGATGCTATGAGCACATTCATCTTCCAAATAATGTTTGGACTGAGATATCACAATACTTATTCGATGTAAAGCCAGAATTTGTAGATTTGAAGCATTTTCATGCTACTACACTGAAAAGGGCTATATTCATAATTCTGCCAATTAAGAACAGATTTTCTCTTTATTCTGCTTCCTCCATGTGCTGATGCTTTTCCATTGACAAAGAAATGATGGCCTTCCTGGGATCCAAGAACAAAGTTGAATTGTTTATAAATATGTACAGGAAGTGCCAAATTGATAGAAAGGATCTGTAAGGCTCTTGAAGCTTATGACAATGAATCACATTCGAATGTCCAAAAGTATGTTCTTGATGAGTGCTGAAAATGGAATCTAGTATGGGTTGGAAGGAATAAAGTTACTCCACTTGGATCTGATGAGGTGGAAATGCTTCTAGGTTTCTCTAAAAACCATACACAATAATCTGTATAGATACATATTCCATGGTGGTATCAATGTCCTGTCTCTTTTCTATGGGATCAATGATGCAGAAGTTGCCTTTTACTGTCTTGGCATACTTTTGAAAGCAGATGTGCAAGAACTGAATGATGATCGATTGGAGCAATTGATGAGTAGATTTGTCGAATTCGACCTTGTTGTCGGTTGTATCTAGCATAACAACCTTATTGTTCATGGCTTTCAGATGGTGATGATTTTCTTACTTGTATTCCATGTATTTAAAAGTATAACATAAAGTGATATTCAGAAATCTTTAACTTATTTCAAAATTATTAATTCATAGAAGAATAAATTGAATTTTCGAAAATAAATTGAATCTCAAATAAATTGAACTTGAATAGATAGAATTGTATTCAAGTTATGGCAAGCATAAGAATGATAAAATTCAAATGTCTCAACAAATTATTAGTATAAGTATTTCTAAATTAATCAAGTTGACACAATTTAGAGAAATGATGTAAGCTTTTGTCTGGAAGATCTCAAACGTTGTCAAAATGCTTGTAGATGTGAAGTTTCTCCCAAACTGTCAAATCTTAAGAGGGTTCAATTGCCAGATGCCTAATATCAACATGCATTTGAGCCGCCCATTCAGGTTTTCAACTCAAATCCTTCCTTTGGTTACAAGATGCCATTTGTGGGTTTTCACCTTGACCCCCCTTTTTTCTTCTTTTTTTTCTCTTTTTTTCTTTTTTCTTTTTTTCTTTTTTTTCTTTTCTTCTTCTCTTCAAGCATAAATATTTCTGATAGAATCTGAGTTTATTGGATTTCTCAGAATTTTTCCATCCATTTCTGCCAAGATCAACGCTCCTCCGGAAAAGGCCTTTTTAGATTCATCCACTTTGTTTCTCTCAATATTCGAGCGATGGAATCTCAACTTCATTGGTAAGACTGCTTCCATCCTGTAGACTAAAGAACGTGTTGCCCCAGTAGATGTCTAACAGTAGTTCGGTATGCATATAAAGCAAAAGGTAACTTCTCGTGCCAATCTTTGTAAGTTTCAGTGGTCTTTGTAATGATTCTCTTGATGTTCTTATTTGCTGCTTCAACTGCCCCATTCATTTTTGGACGATACGCCACTGAGTTTGCATGTTTGATCTTAAACTGTGCACAAAGTTTGGTCATCATTTTGTTGTTCAGTTCAGAGCATTATCTGTAATGATCCTTTCTGGTAGGCCATACCGGCAAACTATCTTTCTTTATGAATTTGCAGACTGTGGACCTCTTAATATTGGCATATGAAGCTTCAACCCATTTGGTAAAATAATCAATTGCCACAAGGATGAAACAATGTCCATTCGATGCTTTTGGTGTGATTGCACCAATGATATCTATTCCCCACATAGAAAATGGCCAGGGTGTTGTCATTACATGTAAAGGAGATGGGGGTACATGAATCTTGTCTATAATCTGGCATTTATGACATTTCCTTGCATAATCAATGCAATCTGTGTGCATGGTAGCCCAATAGTATCCATATCTCATTATTTTTCTGGCCATGGAAAGACCATTTGCATGTGTTCCACATATTCCACTGTGTACTTCTTCAATGATGCTTCTAGCTTCGCTGGTATTTAAACATCTCAATAGCATTTGATCATTGCTTCTTCTATACATAATCTCTCCATCAAGAAAATATCCAGCAGCCATTCTTCTCAAGGTTCTTTTATCAATTTCCGATGCATTTGGTGGATAACTTTGATTTTTGATATATTGTAGAATATCATGATACCATGGTTTACCATCTACCTCTTCTTCCACACTATAACAATGTGCAGGAATTTCATATACTTGCATTTTGATTGGCATCATATCAACTTTCTTAGTTGCCTGAAACATAGCAGCTAATGTAGCTAAAGCATCTGCCATTGATTTTCTTCTCGAGGAGATAATTGAAGGTAACTTCAAATTCTTTCACTAATTCGAGGGTAAAATTTCGATATTCCAACAATTTGGGATCTTTTGTTTCCCATTCTCCTCACAATTGATACACCACTAACGATGAACCTCCATATATTTTGAGACATTTGATTTTTCTTTCTATAGCTGCTTTCAATCCCATGACACAAGCTTCATATTCTGCCATGTTATTGGTGCAAAAGAACTCCAGTCTACTTGTAAAGGGATAATAAATATTTTCTGGAGAAATTAACACTGCCCCGATTCCTCGTCCCAAAGCATTAGATGCTCCGTCAAAGTAAGCTTCCAAAATGCAGATGCACCATTTGTTCTGACTTCTTCATTCATGGATATGCACACAAATCTTCATCGGGAAAATTGAAGCTCAAAGGCTGATAATCATTTGATACCGACTGGCCAGAAAATCAGCTATTACACTTCCTTTTATTGCTTTTTGGTTGACATATACAATATCAAACTCAGATAATACATCTGCCATCTAGCCATTCTGCCTGTCAAAGCTGGTGATTCCATTAAGAATTTCAAAGGATCAAGTTTTGATATCAACCAAGTAGTATGGTATAACATATATTGTCTGAGTCTTCGAGTAGTCCACACCAAGGCACAACATAATTTTTGTATTGGTGGATATCGAATTTCACAATCAGTAAATTTCTTACTCAGATAATAAATAGTTTTTTCTTTCCTTCCAGATTCATCATGCTGTCCCAGTACACATCCCATTGAATTTTCAAAGACCGTCAAGTAGAGAATTAACAGTCTATCAAGCGTTGGTGATACTAAAATTGGGGCATTGGATAAATATTTCTTAATAATATCCAAAGTTTCCTGACATTCTTCATTCCAGACTTCAGGATTATTCTTACGAAGTAATTTGAACACTGGATCACATTTGTCAGTTAATTGAGAAATGAACCGAGATATATAATTTAATCTTCCCAAAAAGCCTCGAACTTCTTTTTTTGTATTGGGTGGTGGAAGATCTTGAATTGCTTTTACTTTATCTAGATCAATCTCGATTCATTTTTTGCTGACTACAAATCCCAAAAGTTTCCCGGAAGTTACCCCAAAAGTGCATTTAGCGGGGTTGAGCTTTAATTGATACTTCCTCAATCTCTGGAAAAGCTTTCTCAGATTTTTAATATGTTCTTCTTCAGTTCGGGATTTGGAAATCATGTCATCTACATATACTTCAATCTCTTTGTGCATCATGTCATGAAACAAAGTTACCATGGCTCTTTGATACGTTGCCCCTGCATTTTTCAATCCAAATGGCATCACTTTATAACAGAATGTACCCCACATGGTTACAAATGTTGTTTTTTCCATGTCTTCAGGATTCATTTTTATCTGATTATATCCTGAAAAGCCATCTATAAATGAAAACCATGCGTGTCCTGCAGTATTGTCTACCAATGTGTCTATGTGGGGTAATGAAAAGCTATCTTTCGGACTAGCTTTGTTGAGATCTCTGTAATCCACACACATTCGAACTTTCCCATTTTTATTTGGTACGGGAACAATGTTGGCTACCCATTCTGGGTATTTAGATGTCTGTAGGAAACCTGCATTGATCTGTTTCATCACTTCTTCTTTGATTTGCAACAACATTTCTGGCCTCATTCGTCTGAGCTTTTGTTGGACCGGTTTATATTCTGGATTAATTGGAAGCTTGTGTATCACTATATGTGCTTAAACCAGGCATATCTTGATAAGACCAGGCAAAGATATCTTTGAACTCTTGAAGGAGATTTATCAATTCTTTTTTTATCTGGATTGTCAGAGTAGTACCAATTTTCACCTCTTTTATTTCTTCATCTGTTCCCAAATTCACAGTCTCAATCTCTTCTTTGTGGGGTAGAATTTGTTTGTCTTCTTTTTCTACCAATCTTAATAGTTCAGTAGAACATCACATTCCAGTTCATCCTCACACCATTGATTCTTCCAGACATATGGGTTGCTCTAATTTATCTCTTGATTAAATTTAGGAATAAACATGCTATTAATGGTGACACCTGCAAATTTAAGTCGGACATATTTCCGAAAGAATATAGTAAATTTATGAAATAAATAAATGTAAAAATGTAAGAAAATGTAAAGAATGATTGCCATCTGAAAATTTTAAAGAAAATTTCTTATATTTAACATAATTTCCTTTACAAGATAACAAAAAGTTTTCATATTTTTGAGCTAAACATAAAGATTAGTTCTCTGAATATTACTCTGCGTTAATATTAAAAACTATAGGAAGATCTTCAGTGGTCCAATTGTTGAGTGTTTCTCCAGGAAAACATGGGCGAATCCTATCCAAGTATTTGCCAGTCTTGTTGTCATTCATGATCATGTTGATAAATAATCCATTCATAGCTTCTTCAAATATGCTTTGATCTTTCATCAACTTTTCTTCTTTAAAGGCCTCAACAAGCTATTGTTCTACATTAATTGTTCCCCCTGATCTGAATGTGGTCTTCAACTGTGGGAAAAACATGTGTTCCCAAAGGATTTCTTTCCCTTTCAACCTTGCCTTTCTGTCTTCACATCTTCTTTTCATCTCTTTGTTCTTTTGCTGAAAATTGGGCTTAAACCCAAGCCCAAAACGATATTTCTTCGTCTTTATACTTACAGGAACTGAAATCCCTTGAAGATTCTTTCCTAAACCTTTCCCAGCTTTAGCTCCGATGCCTAAAGTTTGTCGTACCGTCATCTTGGTGCAATCAGATAATCTGGGATATGGAATTTTGCTTCCTTCTGCAATAAAGGTTGCATTAACAAATTCAAGAGCATCATCATTGGTTTCAATATATGGAACATCACTTGTTATAGACGCAATGATTTCTTCTTCAGCTCCTACGCATATTAGTTGTCCATCAACAACAAATTTCAATTTCTGATGTAATGAAGAAGGAACGGCTCCTGCTGAATGAATCCATGGCCTCCCTAATAAACAATTATATGTAGGGTGGATGTCCATCACCACAAAGTCAATATTGTACACGACTGGTCCAATTAACAACGGTATTTCCATTTTCCCGAGTACCTCTTTTTGAGTACCATCAAAGGCTCGCACTACATTCTGATAACTCTTCATGTGTGATTTGATCCACAGGCATTCTTTGAAGTGTGACTAGAGGCATCAAGTTGAGAGCGGATCCATTGTCAATCAATACTCCTGGCAACACATGACCATGACAATGTGTCATGATGTTCAAAGCTTTTACTGACCCCATTCCGCCTTCCGGTATTTCATCATCCGTGAACGTTATGTAATTGTCAGCGGCTATATGTCCCACAATTCTGTCAAGTTTATTGAGGGATATATCCTCAGGGATAAATGTTTGATTGAGCATTTTCATCAAAGCATTTCTATGTGCTTCTGAATTCATCAATAGATCAAGAATAGAAATTCTCGCTTGTCGTTTGTGTAGTTGTTCAACCACACTATACTCACTATGTTTCAGGAATTTCAAAAATTCTTGGGCTTGTTTTTCTGTCACAGGCTCATTGAATGCTGGAGGGGATTCATCATCAAATACCTTCTGAGGTATTGCCATGGCTTTTCCTTTTGCTTTCACTTGTTCTGAAGCATTGGATGTTTCGGGAGAGTAACATCTCCCACTTCTTGTAAAGAACCCGACTTCGCTTACTGCTTCAGACGTCGATGTTGTACCCAAACTCTGTATTTTCTCTTTTGTTTTTTCTAGAGAAACAGATCATCCTACCATTGAAACATTGGTAGTATAATTCCAAGGTACCCTGCGGGTATCTTTGTATGGAAATGGTAGAGGAGTGGTGATAACTACTTTCGGCTTTATTGGTGTAGGAATCACCGTAGATGATTTCACATTAATGATCACAGGATCATTTATTCTTTGACTAGGTTTAGAATCCTCTGATGAGCAAACATCATCTTTTTTTTCCTGGTTCTTCTTCAAAGAGTTCTATTTCTCTGTTGTTCATCAATTTTTGCACCAAATCCCTAAACTCAGGACATAGTTGAATTTTATGCCCCTTCTCTTGATGATATTCACAATAATTCTTGCCTTCATTCTGCTTTGGCCTGAATTGTTGTGGAATTATACCGGCTAAAGAGAGTTGTTGGAATACCCAAACAAAAGGAGATTTAATTTCAGAAATGTCAGTTTTTGCTTTCTTTCTGTTCTCTTCCTGAATTGCATTCACGTTTTTATCTCCATGATTTAGCAATGGATGATTTGATGCAGATGGTGTATTGAATTCCAACTTTCCAGTGTTGATCAAATTTTGAACCACCCTTTTGAATGCCAAACAGTTTTCAATAGAATGACCCGTAATTCCTTCATGGTAAACACAGTGTGCCTTTGTATCATACCAAGGAGGGAATGGTGGTTGCATGGGAACCAAATGATAGGGCCGTATGGCATCTGCTTTTAACAGCGAATCATAGATCACCGCATATGGTACTGGTAAAGGTGTAAAAGACAACCTTTCATTTTCCTTTCGAGATCCTCTGGACTCTGCTCGATTAGTGTTTGTTTCCTCTTTCTTAACCCTTGGTTGGGTTATTGTAACACTTTTCGATGAATCCTTGTTGTAAGAATTTGCATTGTTGACTTCATTCTCTTTTTTCCGGTACATAGGTCTTTTGGAACTAGACCCCTCATTTGATTCAATTTTGCCACTTTTCAAGACATTTTCAATGAGTTCTCCAGAAATGACCAAATCTGCAAAATTTCTGGTTGCATTCCCCATTAGATGATTTAAATAAGGAGCTTTCAATGTATGGACAAATATTACTGTGGCCTCTTTTTCTGACAAAGGTGGTTGAACTTGGGCTGCTGTGTCACGCCATCTCTGAGCATACTGTCTGAACGTTTCGTTATTCTTTTTCTCCAAATTTTGGAGAGTCCATCTATCAGGGACCATGTCTGTTACGTGGCGGTACTGCTCTAAGAATGCTTTAGCCAGATCTTTCCAGGATCTAATGTTGGCTTTGGTCAATTGAGTATACCATTTTAAAGCTGGTCCTGTCAAACTATCTTGAAAGTAGTGAATTAACAATTTCTCGTCTTTCACATATCCTGCCATTCTGCGACAAAACATAGTAATGTGGGATGAAGGGCATGTGGTACCGTCATATTTATCAAATTCGGGAGCTTTGAACTTGATGGGGAGGATTAGGTCTGGAACCAAACTCAATTCACTAGCATCAAACCCATAGAATGATTCAGTTATTTCCACGGATTTCATTCGTTCCTCTAAGCTCTTGATCTGTCTGGTTAATTCTTCATTTACTTTTTCTTTCTCATTCATCTCATTCAAATCTGGGATTAAATGCTCAGTATTAAGATCCCCTATTTTCACATCTGATATAAGCGGATTTTTGCTTGAAGATGCAGGATCCACTTGTCAATTTTCATGTGGTTTGGCTTCTTGAAATGCTGATGTGCGAGCATTAATTTGTATAGGTGTAGTACCAGAGTGATAAATTGGTTCTGGTGGAAAACCTAGAGGATACATAGGTTCTTGGTCGAAAGATACAGGATTTTCATGCATTTTTCCAATGATAGCCTGCCTTTTAAACATGTCCTCTATTTTCTGCATCATACTGTCTTGTGAATTTGCAATACTGGCTTCAATTTTCTCCAGCTTCATTCTCATTTCTGCTTGTTCTTTATTATGCTGTTCCTCAATACGTTGTATTTTATCATCCATAATTCTCTTAGTAGCTTGTCTAGTACCGTAGTGATGTTGTATTTCTCTTTTGGCCAGAATAACTGCGATTGAAAAATCTTTTGATATTATTTTTTCCAAATTTTAATTAATGAATTTTATCTTAATAATAAAAATTATACATAAAGAAAATCATGAAATGAATAATGAATGTATGCAAAATGCATGTATGCAAAAAGGTATTGATCCCAAAAAGTTAACTATCATAGAACAACTTTCATCGGCATACAAAAGTTTCTTTATAATAGTTCATAACTACAGATAAGGCGTAGCTTTCCTATTAAGCTCTATAATTTCTTTCATTAACCATGACACCTTCTTTCCGCACTTAGAAACTGGATCAACGTGATGCTCAATTATTTTGGCTTCAACAGCTAGTTCCCCAATATATCTAGCAACTTCGCTCATTTGTACCATGGCCTCGAACACCATATTACTTCTTTCTTCACTTCTTTCAACATAGAAATCAGTTGACTTTTGCCATTGTGCATTCGTTCCTTCAAGAGTTTGCTCTAACTCAGTGATTCTGACTTGACAATTGTATAGAATTTTTTCAAGATCTCTAATGCGTCTTCACAGTGAAGCACTTTCCTCATTACTTTCTTCGAGATCATTAGGTCCTAGACGAACCTTTTCTTGAAATAATGATTCTTCAAGTTGCAAAATGTAAGCGTTAAACTCTGAGTTTTTGTTTCTAGACTGATCCAGATCTTCTTCAAGTTTTGTTCGTGCTTCTTGCGTTCTTTGATTAATCTTCTGGATTTGAACATTCTTGTTTCTGCATCTTTGCATCCAATTGCTAGCCACTTCTTGCTCTACCTCAATTTTGGTGTTGAAATTCTTTCTTTCCAACTCCCATTTTTCTTTTTCAATATTGAACTCTTCAATCTTTTGGCCCCTGACTTCAAGTTCAGCAATCAGTTGGTTCATTTCAGATTCAAATCCCTTGAACATGATATTTTTCTCATCTTCAAATTTATCAAAGATGTCATTCTTCATTTCTTCTAAATCTTTGGCTTGATCCCTTTCTCTTTGTATTTCATTCATGATCTCGCGGTGTTCAGCCTTGTGTTTTATAATTCGCTCTCTTCTGTCAACCTCAAAATCTTCCATTTTTTGCTTTCCTTTCTCAAGGCTTTTGAGTAGACGGCTATTCTTTCCTTTCATATCTTCAACTCGACTTTTCTCGATGTTCAATTCTCTGCTTATCTGTAATGTTGATTGGCTTGGTCCTGATGCTTTCCGGGATTTATATAACTCTTGGTAATTTTTCTTTAATGCTCTAAATTCACCATCAACTTTTTCTTTGTTTTATCTCAACATTGCACATTGTGATGAATGAAAGTCAATATCAACACCCAACATAGCTTTATCTCGTCTCATTTGCTCTAATTCTCTTGACCAGCCTTCTCTTTCTACTTCAAACTCAGCTCTCAGGATTTCAATCTCTGATGGAACCACCTTAATGCGATCTTCCATAGAGATATCCTCATTTTGATCTGGTAGAGGAATATTTTCATTTTTCCTGACATATCTCCATTCCTCATAATCAGGAGTTAACATTTCTTTTGCTGCTTTAGCTCGGATACAAAAATTTGTTTTCCAAGCTGTAACGGCTTCCATGATATTTCTTTTATAATTTTTGCTGTGAAATGCGAACTCAGATGAATGTAATCCAGCGGTGACAGGTACAAATTGACGACCTTCATACTGTCTTATGACCAGAAGTGGTGCATATCCAATTCCTCCCCATAATCCGAGCAGCATTATCCAATTGTAATCACCACATTTGTAAAAGAATTCCCTTTGGATTTGCCACGGGGCTCGCCAAACAACGTCATTACTTT